CCCCAAAACCCCAAAACCCCAAAACCCCATATTGTGTTTAATTAAAGATAAATCATGAAAAAATAGGGAAATAAATCTAAATTTCGGTAAAGAGAAAAAAATCAATAATCACCAAAAGCTTCTCTCTTAATGGATTTAGTTTTTTTGTGCATCTAAATGTAATTATCATTAGAAAATTCTCTTGAAATCTTAGTAAGCTGCTTTCTTATAGTACTCATCCTCTTCAATAATGTCTCCTTCCTGATCAAAATTGATGCATGAGCAAAATCTCCATAACTCTCCATCAAAACAGGTCCTAGTTCTAATGAAGATTAATCAAGCAAACAATCTTTTTTGTATTCTATTGGATCATTTGGTAAAAACACAAGTAATATGAAAGAGACAATAGCTGATGTACCAGTAAATTGAAGTAATCCACTATAGCCAAGAGCTCCAGAGAAATTACTTACTACAAAAGAAAACAGTAAAGTAGATATTGAATTTGAGGTTAAGAAATATGAGTAGGCCTAAGAACCTATCTCTGGACCAAATATTCTTGCATAGTAAATTGGCATACTAACTTATACTGAACCCTAAATGAAATAGGTTATAGCCAGGTAAAGAGCGAATGAATGATGAAATCTAGCTACTAGAACATAAGTGAATGAGAGAATGACTGAGGAAACTAGAATCAAGCCAAAGAACTTCTTGAAATTCATTCTCTCTAAAATGATTCCACCAGTTAATCTCGAAACACAATTAAATATCATTCCTATTGATGAAACAAATGTTAAGAACTAATCGTCATGTCCCACAGATTCACCGAAAGGTTTAAAGATAATAGTAATATACTAGAAGTATAGTACCGCAGTAAACATCATTGAATAGCTCAGAATAAAACTTTTAGATTTTAGAGCTGCTTTTAATTTCTCATTATTTGATTGTTCAACGTTCCATGGCATCGAAATTTCATCTGCTTTATCTAGAAGATAGGGAGGCATCCAAATAAAAAATGATGCTAGAATCATGAGAATGAATTCAGCGAGAGCAAAATATCTTAACATTATAGGGACATTGTCAGCAACATCTTCATGATAGTAATTGTATTTGATGTCATCTTTTAAACTGATTATATCAGGGAATCTATCGTCTGGATTGATTATCATAAGTGCTATTAGTGCTGAGCTTATTGTTCCAATTCCACCAAAACACATTATGACACTGGTTACTACTGCTTTATTCATAGGGAAGCACTTCCAACCGACGTATGTGGGCAGAAAAAACTAACCACAGCTTATAGAAAATTAGTAAATCTTACAATCATTCCCATTCCTAGGCCACCTACTATACTATAGTAGAAATTAAAACTTATGAAACTGCCTGCAACAGAACTCAAAATTAAGGACCCCAGATGTATTGACACACCTATTATCAAAATTCTAAAAATGATGTTAAAATTTGAGTTCTTGTTTACGTTCTGGGATGAAATCTTTGAAGCATTTTTGTACCAATTATATTCCCTATTGATATCATAAAAGTTTGAGTTGGAGAAATAATGAAGACATCATCGACCTCCAAATCTAGCTAAGACAGTCTCAGAAAGGAGCATACATAGACTTAGATATTTCCCCATATGCTTATTGATCCAACCAACTAAACATTACTTTTAAGAAATCGAAGGCATTTTAATCTGAGTAATTAGTAACGATACTTACTATTTGGCAAATTATGCAAGCAATTAATGAAAGAATTTTACGAGTCTTAAATGGATCTTTAATTTCTAAGTCATCATCATCTGTATTGAAAAAGCTTTCATCTGTCTTCATTTTTATTAAAAACTAAATTGAAATTCGACTATAAATTTCACCTTAATTTCGAATATTTATACCTCTTGGGGTTTTGGGGTTTTGGGGTTTTGGGG